GGATTCCAACTGGGGCCTTTTGGCTCGAGAGCCCAATCTCAACTCAGGTTTTCCTGCCTCTCTGTCCTCCTCGCCCCACCCCGACCCCCCATTCCTAACCATTCTTACTTCCTTCCCAACACCCTGTAACCAACATGAACTACTAAAGCCAGTCAGGCCAGACTTGTCACTGCCCTGAAATGCACCCAGCCCATTTCTGCCCCTCTGATTCCACACAGCCCTAAAAATGCCCTCCCTTCTGTTTCCTGCTTATTCATATCCTACCTATTCTTCAAAGCCAAATCAAGTCTCACTTCTTCCCAGCAGGCTTTCCTGAATGCTTGAGACTTTATTTCATTCTCTTGATTGCTACAGCAGTCACAGTGTGCCCACACAATTTAGGACTTAATTTTCTATCTTCTTTGTTTCCCCAATATACTCATTCATTCAACAAATATATTTTTTTGAAGACCAAAAAAATTCCTTTGAAAGTTTAGAGACTGGTCTAGAGGCTGAGGGTAGAGCTGTGAACACAGACAAAATAGGATAAACAATTATTAAACTCCTCCTCCTTGAACTATTGTTATATAAATAGCAGAAGAACCATCATAGAAACATTCTGATAATGTTATAGTCCCACGAAGTTATGGTCAGATAGCTGCCAGTTACATATCTCGGGCAGGAAAACTACAACTAACCAATTCAATCAACTATCATGAGCAGAATACTTCTGAAATAACTGCTGCTGCAAATAATTTCTACAGCCTTAGCCTGCACTGAAACAGGCTATTGCAGATATTTGGAACCATCCAAACTTTTAAGGGATTTTCTGGTTTACATTACAGACTCACTTCATCTATATGTAGGACTGTATAAAAAGGAATGACTGACCTATTGTAGATCATTAGCTCAAATGCAGGGCTGCTCATTTCTCTGCTTAGAGAATACGTTTAAGGAAAAACAAAGGGATAGGGAATCTGATTGCTGAGAGAGAGAGGTGGGGGTGGGGGGCAGAGAGAAACACAGAGAGAGCAAAAGCTCCCTGGCTTTATAGTAAATGCAACCCTTTTAAAATGGACTATTTAATCCAGATGTTTCTCTACAGTTTAGGGTCTAGACTTGAGATTATGCAGGAGAAATCTACTCAATCTTCACAATGGACAATACAAGAAGTCCTCCTATTATAGTTCTAGGTTGAAAAAAATCAAATTCCTACATTGAGAGAATTAGTAATTACTAAAACATTAAAATGGAGAGAGCCCTTGTGTAATTGAAATGGTTCTCATGATCCCATCTAGACAGACAGCTCCACTCCTCCTGGAAGCCCTCTCTGATTAAACTATATTATTCAACACCCCCTGGGCACTTGGATGCTCAAGGTGTATCTATTATACTTTGCTTTGCAATTGTTCTCAAACGGTTCATCTTCCTGCCTAGACAATCAACTTCCCAAGAAAGCGTGACTTCATTCTACAACCATCCATTGCTGGCTGCCTGACCCTTGCCCTGAAAGTTCCTAGTAGGGTCCGGTTCTCTGCACATACAGATGGACTGTGTTTAAGTTTACGGTTAGAAATCTCCTGTAAAGGAAATCCAACTCAAATTACCTAGGGCTGATTCCTTCTGGCCGTTTCACCATTTTACTGCCTATCAGTTTCTCCACATATTTGACATCCAGAATCAAATTTACTTAAGTACGCTGCTAAATATCAATTTGTCATATTAACCAATTTCACCAGACCAAAGCCAAGCAAGGCAGTTGTCCAGATAGCTCAGGAAAAGGAGAAACAATTATCTGGCTTTAACCTGAATTACTTAGGGACTAAAACAGGGCTTATACTGGAGATTTCAGGTTTGGGGGCATTATTATAATGTGTTAATGCATCCTTTGAAAGTAGATTCGCCATGTTCTTATAGAAAAACATTCGGAAAGCCATTTCACCTTCAACAGGGTAATATTCCACTACTATATAATAATTACAGTACAGAGTGCTTTCACCCTGTAACTCAAAAAAGTAAAATGAGGGGCTGGCCCTGTGGCATAGTGGTTAAGTTTGGCGCTTTCCGCTTTGGCGGCCCGAGTTTGCAGGTTCGGATCTCGGGCGTGGACCCACACCACTCATCAGCCACGTTGTGGCGGCAACCCACGAGGAAGACTGGCACACATTAGCTCAGGGCTAATCTTCCTCAGCAAAAAAAAAAACGGAAATGAAATGCCCACAGTAACACAACCAGCAGAGTGCCAAAGTCAAGCTTAAGCCTCACTCTCCAGGCTCAAGTTCAGCACCTCTCCCATCATCTCTCTCTGTACTTTTTTTTGCTGAAAAGCTTAAGTACGGCTATTGAATTGTTTAACTCCTGGGACATGTCAGAAGTTGTGCACCATAAGTACCTGGAGGACAGCGACAACATCTATTTAACGCAATTCCTTTCACTTGGGTTCAGTACCACAAGTTTGCCACTTGGTCAATAGCGTATTTAATGCCGATGTCAAAGTTCACAAGTGAAAGAAATTTAAGTACCTTTGCACTGTGGTTTATTTTTCTTTTTTTGTGTGTGAGGAAGATCAGACCTGAGCTAACATCTGCCAATCCTCCTCTTTTTGATGAGGAAGACTGGCCCTGGGCTAACATCCGTGCCCACCTCCCTCTACTTTATATGGGACGCTGCCACAGCGTAGCTTGACAAGCCGGGCATACGTGCGCGCCTGGGACGGAACCCCGGGCCGACGCAGCGGAGCGTGCACACTTAACCGCTACACCACCCGGCCGGCCCCTGTGGTTTATTTTTCTTAACTTTACATCTCTCATCCTTATGCAGTTCCTTTCTGAAACTAAAGTTCTACCACCAGCTGACAGAAAATTTCAAAAAAACAATGATCAAATCCCAAAGCTAGCCAGCTGGACTCACTCGCAGAGAAATGTTTGGGGAATGACTTCTCCAAGACAAGGGCAGATCCATCAAAGAAGTGAGGCAGTAACTCCCTACTCATAATGTTTTCTCCTTAACGTTTTACAGTCTGCACTTGCTATCTTGCTCTCCTCTGAACATAAAGTAATTTTTAGCAGAGAGAAATCTGGAAGAGAGAACAGCATGCTCTTCTTACAAGAGCTGGCTTCATAAACAAAAGTGAGGGCACTCATCAAGAAGACATGCTCTTTGCGTGGTTTTTTTCAGTATAACTATACCTCCCTTTACATAATAAGAGATGTGCTTCTAGTGGGGGGGAAAAGGTCAACCAAATATTTGTCAAGAGAATCACATTTTCCCATTTTATTAAATTACCATTTCAGAGCTACCTTATCATTATTCTGATTTAACAATGGTACTCCTTCCTCCATCCCCAAACCTGACAAGCAGTTCATTAACAAATAAAAATGTAAGTGAACTAAACTAACTCCACTTTAAAGAAAAAATGTTAAATCTTTCCTACAATTTTAACGTGGATAATTGTTCTTAACTTTTTTAAAGGTGCACATGCACTGGATCACATAGGGCCAAAGCCCATGTCAGATTGACACATATCATTCATGGCGTGGGATGTGACCTTGACATTGTTCCAGATTTCCATGCAGAGCTCTCTGGCCCCTCTCAGGCTAGAATCTTGTCCTTGCCTTCGTTAGCATAAGGTGCTAAGCTAACGAACCTGTGTACTGTCACATGAATGGAAAAGATGTGTTCCTGGTGGCTCTGCATATCACAAGGATGGGAATTTAATTTAAGGTGGTAAAGGCTACCTCTAAGAAATAAACTTTTAAACGAATCATTACCTGGGTTCATTCACAGCTCTAGGACTAGAATCCCACATATTTTAGCACTTTCTCTTAAAATATTCCATACGTGTGGTCACTGACAGCCAAAGACAAAAGAAAAAACAGCCAATTAACTGGGCAGATTTTCACATCTGATCCCATTATGTGAACATCAAAATAAACTTTAAAATAAATAAACAAATAAGTTTTGAATTTTAGACTACATCTTCTACCGAGGTCTAGGTTAAGGGAAGTGATGGGCCCAAGGTCACGAAGTCATTGACAGGACATCCATGCCTGCCTAGGAAGTATTGCACCATCAGACCACTGTTTGCGTTTGCAGGTGGAGATGGGATGTGACATCCGATTGATCTCAATTGGAGGAGATACCAGTTCTTTAACCAAAAGGACACTAAAATAGGTCAGCAGATACTACCCAACACAGATCCTGACTCTTAAATCGGAGACACTAGCTGGATAAAGGGAAGGACTGAATTTGGAATAAGTCACTTGATATAAAGCCTGGCTGCGGAAATCTAGAAGATCTTGCCTGCCCACCAACAAAATGAAGTGGCGTAAAAGAAGTTTCCATTTTTTTTAATGAAAAATATATGAACAGATCACTGTTCGTAGTAAAGCTCTGTCACACATATCTAAAGCATCCTTAATACTGCAGCTTCTCAGAGAAATCCTACGAGCAGCACGGCCGGTCTTAAGCATCGAGACAGACTCGGATGAATTTTTAGAGCTGTGTTTGCAGTTCTTCTCAGCCCCACTACGAATCCCCACCACCGCCACCACCAAAAAAGTCCTGAATTGCTCGGCCGCACTTTTCCAGGTGCGGCATCTGGGTTCCGAGGGGCTGGGGAAAGAGGATGGGGGGCGGCGGGACAGCCGGGAGTGTGGAAGGGGAGAGAACGGACACGGGCCGCGACTAGGGACCCTCCACCCCAGGAGGCTGCCCAGCCTACCCGCCCAGGGCAGCCCGCCGCCAGTCCTCCCCGCGCTCCCTCTGCAGGATCGCCCTGCAGGGTCTCCTCGTCCAGGCGTGACCGCCCCCGCGCGAGGGAAATGCCACGCTTTCCGCCTCTCCAAAAGCGAGCGGTCGGCTCCTGTCCCGAAAACGGGGATGAGGAAAGGGGGCTGCACGCCCTCCCTCCCCGGGGTCCCTGCAGCCTTCCTTCCTCCCGCCCGCAGAGGCGGCCCCCACTGCAGACCTCCCCACCGCTCCCGAGTCGCTGTCCCCGCGCCCCTGCTCGCTGCGCTCACCGCGGCCCGCGCCCGCGCTGGTGGCGGTGGAGTTCCCGCAGCCCATCGCAGCGCCGGCCCGGGAAGCCGCGCTCGGAGCTGGTGGCCGCAGGTCCTAGGGGCGGAGACGG